CACTGATGTTGCTTTATTAGGATCAAACTTGCCCTTTGAGAGTCTGACCTAATAGGTCAATCCCAGCTTGAGAAAACAGGGAATACAATACATTCCTGGAAACTAGTCTCACACTCTCTGAATGGCCTCTTTCACTTAAAGAGTTTCTCAGGACAAAGGTAGGCAGGTCCAGGCTTTCTCAGTTTTTATGTATTACCGATTCCTTCAACAGGAGATCACTTCAGAAGGGAGAACAAGTACTAAGTTCAGAAAAATCAAGGCTTCTTGATTTCATTTAGCACTCTTCTGGTTAATAGAAAACAGCAGAGAAGGAAAGGGGGAAAGGCTGCTGCAGTTACTGCCATAACCAGTCAAAGCATACCTTTGCTTTTTTGATCCTTTGCAGACAAGGATCAACCCTAGGGCGAAGTAAAAAGATAGGAAAGAGGGAAACTGACAAGGCTGCAAACACACTCCTCTCGGAGCGGGAAATACGCATCTAACTATTGTCTGATGAGCATGTCAGCCACAACATCCATCTTGTCCAGGATATGAAATGAGAAAACTGACAGCACATTCTCCTCTGTCCACATTATCAGGAAGTAACCCATCCTGAAAGGTTATGGATCTTATAAATACACTAATATGAAGAAGGAACACAAGGAAGAAGAGATCCATTATGATACATACCTGCTGTTAGATCTATGGCATGACCTTTCTTCACAGGTTTTCTTATGAGAAGTATTCAGAAACCATTACCTGAATGGCACAATAACCCTTCTTTGACACCTTTCGTAGTACAGCAGAGGTCTTCTCCTAAAAGCCAATGTACATTAGCTGCCCATGGCTTGAGGAAGCCTTCCAGTCCCATGTATACTACTTGGGCTTTCTCGCGCATGTCCAGTCGATAATCACTTAATCCACCAGCTTTACCACTCTGCACAACACAAACTTGCTATGATCAATATAGCTTGCAACGGTAACGCCCAACACAAAGCCACTTATATGTCAGCACACTGGTACTCTGCAGGGGTGAAGACTTATTATCCAGTGACACAGTAAACAACTGCACCAACTAAGGTCATGTCTAGGCAAAGCTCCCAGGTTGAGGGAGGTGATTCTCCCCACCTACTCTATTCTCATGAAACCCCACCTGGAGTACCGTGTCCAGCTCTGGGGTCCCCAGCACAAGAAAAACATGGACCTGTTAGAGCAGGTCCAGAGAAGCAGAGGAGGGTCATGAAAATGATCCAAGGGCTGGAACACGTCTCCTGTGAAGAAAGGCTGAGAGAATTAAGGTTGTTCAGCCTGGAGAAGAAAACACTCCAGAGACCTTATTGTGGCCTTTTAATACTTAAAGGGACCAGAGTTGTGGATGCCCCATCATTGGAAGTGTTCAAGGTCAGGTTGGATGGGGCTTTGAGCAACATGACCTAGTGAAAGATGTCCCTGCCCATGGCAGCGGGGTTGGCCTAGATGGTCTTTAGAGGTCCCTTCCAACCCAAACGATTATGATTCTACGATATGAAGTTCTAGTCTGGGCACAAGCGTACTGATGATATTTGTCATGTCCAGGTGTTCTCCTTCCAAAGGGTTCTGGCAATTCCAGATTTAAAGCCATAGCAACTACCCTAATATCAAAACAGCCAATGCAATGTCTTAAGTTTCTCAAGCTCTGATACTGCTGAGAAGAGGTGGTTTTCCTCTCAAGAAAGTTATTCTTCCTCATAGCACCTGCTGAAACAATTTCAGTTCACATTTTTCAGAAGATCTGGAACACCCCACTCCCCCTCCCCATTATTTTCTGTCACTCAGGGTACCACTGGACTTTATTTTATCAGAGTGCACCACTGGGTAAAACAAGACAGTTCTGGAACAGCCCATACTTTTGGGGGGGGGTGGGGATAACTTAGCTACACAGACAAAGCCTTTTTCCCTTGTTTCTTTTCCATGACCCTCAGGCTCCTTTTTTGCCTTCAGCAACAGAGATACTTAAGTCAGTTTAATAGTTCTCATACCCATCTCACTTTTGTGGTCCTGCCCTACTCCTGTGTTTGTGCCAAAACAGCAGTGTGTGTGTGGTCACAGAAAGAACAAGATCAAGGAAAAAGTCTGGTTAAGAGAGAATTTTTGCAGGGTTTTTTTTTTCCAAGCAGATCAAATTCCCAACTTATTACATGACCCAGCTGCACACACAGCTATCACAGCCAGGGTACGAAAACGAAGCTGCTTAATATTAGCACTGCAAATGAACTGCTGTAAGGCGAAATGGGGATGTTTATAGTTATTTTCCTAGCAACGTTCTGCTGCCGAAACCAGTATTCTTTCACAGACAAGTATCAGCAAAGTCTATTACAAACTTTGTCCATATAGATCCTTTTTAAAGCTGAGAAATTCTCTACAGACAACAATTACATGAATACCATTACTCCCTTAAGACCATACTCCAGTTCACCACAGCCAGCAAATCTTTCACTGCAAAGGGAAGGGCTAGAGAAATCAGGATGTGCGCTGTGTCAAAGATACAAGCCACTGCAAGGGAGAAATGTGGCTTCAAGAGTGGATTGGAAGCCCCATTTTGGTAAAGCAATTAGATAAGTGGTGATGGGAGGAAGCTAAATGAAGATCTGTTCTCACAAATGTTGCCTTGTCATTTCATCCAATGCTATAAAAAGTAAGCATGCTTGAGTAGTGCTGTACAGATGTCAAACTGTCCTGGCTTACAACAATTTCGGTGCTCACAAGAGCCGTAGCATTTGTTGACTCTGAATCAGGGCAGAGAACCACCAAATAGCAGAGCGAAGGGGATCACAGACTAAGGTAACATTGGTGAATGATGCCCCAAGTTAGACTGCCTCCAACAACACAGAGGAGCACCAGGCTCATGTGACATGGGATAAGTCTTTCGGAAACAATATCAAATAAAAGCAAAATGACAGTCAGAACTGTTTGGCAGGGAGGGGCAACAGAAGAGGGCAGAATTCAGGAAAAGTTCCCAAAATATTGGGAAGAAGCATACTTTTTTTTTTTTTTTATTTAAAAGACACTCCTTTGCTTCTTGCTAGAAGTCACTACAAGAAAATACTTGCCTTTATATAACAGGACTATTACTTTTGTTAAGGCTATGACTACTTCAGCAAACACAGTTCTAGCTACCACCATCATGCTAAATGGTAGCTACCAACATCTTCCAAAGGGGCAGCATATCTACTTTTCAGAAGCCCTCTCTGGACTCAACAGGGAGGAAAAGTGCTACAGAATGAAAGTGTACCAACTCAGAGGCACTCCTGAAGAAATAACAGAAGTATCTGTGACTACGAGAGCAGCTGTCACTCTGAACCTAGGAATGCCCACAAGGACATGCAAGAGAATAGAGCAGGAAGAGGGACAGCAGCAAATCCTCACTGTTCAGCCCTCCGTGAATCCCATTAGCGGAAACACAAACAGTTGTCCCAGAGCACAGATCAAGCTCTGCTGGCTGACTCGATGCCAAGACAGATTTACTCACAGGTTACCCTCCTGATGCCCGCAAAGCACTACTTCACTGTTGGTACCCGTCCCACTGAGGTGGAGGGACCTTACAGTCCAGGCATATCGGGCTGATTAGGAGGTAAGGATTTGTTAGGCAGGAAAGGAGGCTAATTTCACACTGCCTACGTTGATTACTCACAGCTCGTACCTGGCTCATAGTACTGACAAGTTGGACCTTTTGAAGTTCAACGTATTTTTTCAGAGCAGCAGGTATGGTATCAGGCACTGACCTGTCTTCACTGCCAAAGCACACCATCCTGATAGGCCTACATCAAGAACAACATGCAGCTAAAGAATGCAACAGCACCCATCCCAAACTGCCAATTCAGACTGTTTCAGGAAGTAGGGACCCCTCTTCCAGCTACCTTTATTCCAAATCAGGTTGACTTTAAGAAATTCCTCCCCTTGAAGTGAACATGAATCTTTTTCTAAGTGGCTTTCCACCTAAACTTTTTTTGGTTTTATCATAAGCACACATCTGATTGTGTGAGAAACATACCAAGAATAATAGAAGGTTGCTTTCTTTAAGCAATATATTTTTCTTAAGAACAGCACAGAATAAATCAGTACCAGAAAGATTCAACAACAACAAAATTTAGCAGCTTCACCAATTCCCACCTTTCTCTTCAAAATTAGTATCTTTAAAAATTACTAGCCAGTCAAAAAAAAATTAAAGCAAGTTGAAATTCTTATAGAATCCTAATATTTTATTTTTTTTTAAGAAAGAATTAAAGAAGTTGTAAAGTGAAAAACCAAAGGCAATAATACACCCAACTGAAATGACAAAAATAACCGGTGAAGCAACTACTGTACAGGGAATTCAGCAAAACTGTTGTGAGCTACTATAGAACTCTTACAATGATGAGTGTTGAGGAAGGGATATATGTAAGATATATGTAATATATTTATGCAGGATATGTGCAATACCGTTTTCATCTATACTTACCTTGTTGTTTCTTAAGTCTACCTATCATGATTTAAATCACTCCAACATATTTCTTGAACAAAGATGCTGTATTTGTATAAATTAAGTTCTAAATAATAATTCTCATGCTTCAGTAGCAAAGTTTAAGGATGGCAGAAACTATGCCCTATCTTTTGTACAGCCATGCATGTTTATAAAAGATTTTTAAGATGCATTGCAGGTGCCTTTTTCAGCAATTTGCAGGGGAAAAGGCTGTGGATGGAAAGAACAATACCATGCTCAGGGAAAAAAACAAATATATTTTTTACTTAGAAGAACAATAAGCAAAAGTATTCAAGACGCAGTAACTGAAGGCACTGGTGGAGAGCACATGCATTTTTCTTCCATATAAGATTTCTGTTCTCTCTGGCTGAAGGCAGCATCCAAATTGCTTTTGCACTTTAATCAGTAGCCATTTGCATATTTCAGGGAGGGGGGGTTTGTTTTTAAAGACAGATTTGATACACCCAGCATGCACCACAATCCAAACAACTGGACACAAAAAACCTCCTTTATGTAAACATACCTTTAACAGTTTTGACAAAAACTTGTTTCTCTTTACTGGGGTCTTTTTCTTCTATTAGAATCCCATGGAAGATGCGCCCAAATGTGCCTACGAAGAGAACATACAATTAGTAAGTATTACGTGGTAAAAATACACTGATAACATTAACAGAACTTATTATCTATTAAGAAAACACTACCTTAAAATGATTCAGCCACAGCAGAAAGTTAATTGTAGTCTCATTAAGAAGTAATTTAACTAGAGACTACAGGCAGACATAAATACACAGCATAAGTTATTTAACAGTAAACTAAACCCCTCCTATCTTGGTTCTAGAAGACATCGTAAGAGTGCCTTAAATATATATTTCCAATACACAGATATATGAAAAAGTCAAAGGGAAGATAGCGTTTTGTACTGAAACATGTTATGGTATCAATCTATCTATCTATTTTTAAATGCTGGAAATAAAGAGAATGGGGAAGCGTGTAAAAGCAGTTACGAATAGAAAATAGTTTTCATGCAATCCAGTATCTAGACATAGTAAGACTGTAACACAGCATTCCTGTGTGGTCCATGGTTTGGGGTTTTGTTTTGGTTTTTTTTTAATGGTACCCTGAAAGACTTGTACCTTAGCAGGAATTGTGTGTCACCGTGTGCTATAACACTTAGAGACAGCACTGCGAACGCACTCCTTCTGCCTCACTCTCCTCTGGGCTTTTTGCAGATTATGCTGTTCATATTCCAGACTGGACATCTAAGTCATTTCTCTACTTCACCAGAAAATGGTAAAGGTCCACTTGCTGTTAATATCTGCTCCATTTGCTAAAGCGTAGCTATTCCATTTGAAACTTTAAGACGCCTACATTTTTGTCTTACATCTAGTACAATATGAGCTTGATGCAGGTTCAGAATCAGGTGCTGCATGAGTCCAGCAATACAAAAGGCCCCTACAGATCCTTCTTCATTTGCGCACTCTCAGACCTGGTGCTTTGCATTTTCCAACTGGTTACACCACAGCAGAACCATAATCTTCTAAATTATTAAAATGTTAAAGTAGATTAAGTTATGGAAGCTACTTGAAGTTTATAATTAATCTCTGGCCAAGACCTGTAAAATATGTTTAAGTTCCATTGGCAGCACTTAGGAATTCTTGAAAATTTTAAGCAAACATTTCTATTATTCTCTTGTTTCCCTCTGAAGCTCTTTTGTTCTTAGTTGACAGAGGCTCAGCTCTGCTACAATCCTGAACTAAAATTCGTGATTGTTCATCAGGATCTGTCTTCTAGTCTTTTGAATAACTTTTGAAGGTTTTGACAGATGCAAGTACCAGCTGGAGGCCAAGAAACAAGACCCCAGTATTAACTGGGTCTACATTGCATTCAACAGCCATTTAAGCTGCATCTTGCAAAGTAGGGCAGCTCTGTCACTCGGTGCTGAACATCTGATGCTTAGCTGTAGCACTGAGTCACTTCTCGTCATCAGATGACGCCTAACACCACAGCTACAGGCAACAGACAGTACAAAGGAACACAAAGCACATCCTGCATGCGAAGGAAGCTTTTTGCAGAACCGACACTGGAGTTGAGCACAAAGCTACCTCCTTAGAGATTTAGAGGCATACATGAAATGGGGAGTGTTAGCATCCTCCCATTGTTTTTCAGACAGTAATGCAAAGCATTTAGCAGTTCTACCACCAAAGGATGAGTATCTCAGATCTGTAGCTTTGGGAAGTTTGATTTCTCATGTGACTCAGGAAACACAGACTTGAAGTTGCAGCAGTAAAGACTAATGACAAAAATCCCTAAATATTTAAGTCTATTTCCCAAATTCAACATCAACAAGAATCAATTAATGTTGTGCATGAACATGAACAAAGTAAACATTAAACAAGACAAAAGAATCAGGTAGTCTCTGAATTTTTCATATCAGAGCTGTTAGTGTTGCATCTGCTGGTTAGATTTCCAAATCAGAAGCTATTAAATTGGGATGATGAGTTTAGATGACTGAGGTTTTTGTGGACTTTGGGTTTTTCTGTTTTGATTTTTTTTTTTTTAATTAAGAGAAGCTCTCCTGCAGTAACTTATAAAAGTGAGTTACTTTGCCACTTAGAGCCCCAACTGATTACCTCATTCCTTAGCCATCTAATCCTTACCTTTATTTAAAGGACCAGATTATTAAGACAGACAAGCTGAATGATTTACTGAGCATGATTAGTCGCTCCCCCATTCTAATGAATTCTGGAAACTGCTTTCCCCACCCTCCCCCACACCCCAAATGTAAACATCATTCATCATTCTTCTCCTCCTCCAAAGTTACAAAGATGAGAAACATCATCCACGATTAATTTCGGAAAAATCTACCTATAAATATATATATACACACACACATATATACACCATGTTGTAGCCAACAAGTGTCCAAGTCCTGTAAATACCTTCTTGGAGCACATCTTTTAGAGTTATCCTCTCCCTGGAGATGGCTATGTCCTTCACCTTAGCTCTTGCTTCCATTAGAGTGACACTTTTAAGATCATTCTTCTCTATCCGTAATGTAGGATAACCTGAGGAGCCAGCAGAGCCAAACAAACCAATATAAATACCCTTATAATGAGAACACAAGCACATTGCTTCACCTTAGCACCACCTACAGGTATAAAGGTATGCAAGCAGCAGGTACTTAAAAATATTATGTATTAATCTTAAAAAGATTATAGTATTAAACAACAAACACAAGAGAAGTCATGTGAATATAATAATCTGCAGAAAAAAAAAATCACACTAGAATTATACATAGTGTCATGCAATCAAGTCTCATTATTAACACCAAGTAAATAAAACTCCCTCTTACATACTGAAGCTGATTAACACAACACTGCACTTCCCTGACAACAAGGAAAAAAAGATCATGGTCGCAGACTTGTCAGAAGACTTGTCAGAGTGAGGAAGATGCCTTACGCCAGGAGGATGTAATCAAAACTACCAGTGCCCTCTTCTGGCACTTCTAGACATCTAGATACACTAATATAGTCAGAAAGGTCTGAATATTTTTGTACATGTTTATGAATTACTAGAGAAAAATCTTGATAATTACTTTGATTATAATTTTTATTAATTTAAACGTTACTGAAAACGAGGTTAATATGATTGTGGAAGGACTAATAATGTTCTTCCTGTTTATTTCATGCATCCAACCTTTTTTCTTCTTATATTCGTTTTCCCTGTGCTACCAGGGGTGTCCCAAAACATGTAAAAGGCATTCTGAAACAATACAGACTGAACACAGCAAACAGGTCCCATTTAGGCATAGCAGCTACCATGGTCATCAAGGTGAAGGAGGGTTTAATCATCACTATGGGCTTGTAGGCCACCTTCATGACAGGTCCTCCTCTCCCCGTTTGCCAGAGGCTCAGTAATTAGTTTCCAGGGGTCATATTAAAATTAAACAAACAGTGTCACTTAGAGGGCCAACCTGAAAACCTGACGTTGATAGGACATCAACAGCAGAATGTGATCTGGGATAAAAGATGGAAAATAAAAAGGCTGGGGAGGGACTTCGGGTGGCAAAAGGGAAAACCAGCTCAAGAATTTGTTGTATGCCAAGGTCTCTTCCAAACTCTGTGGAAGGGGGGGGGGGGTTTATATTTTTTTATATATTTATTTTTATTTTAAAATTAATTCTTCTACTAAATAAATTTTAAAGGCAGTTTTTTGCATGGGAGAAGATGAACTCAGATGACAAAAAACATCTCTTTTTTTTTTTATAAGGCGCTATAGATATATATTTAGAAGAAAGTCAAAACTTTACCAAAGTTGCAGGAGTTCAATCTTAGCTTATCTGTTTCCACATGTGGGAAGGAAACAAGAAAACACAGTAGGGCTGAACAGTAATCATGACATTTGTACAGTACTCCCTCATGAATTAGGATGGTCTGTATCACTACTAAGTGCAATCAGAAGAAAATGGGAGAGACTTTTGGGTCTTATTGGTTGCTTTAAAAAAAAAAATCAAGTCATTCATCATTATTTTTACCTAGCTCTAAATAATGGATCTTCATTGACACTTCTACTCTACTTGAACAAAGTCTCTTCAGGCAATTAATACAAAACTATTGAGCATTACAGAAAAGAAAGTCACTGGTGGCAGTAGATGAAAACAGGAGCCATTTAATTTACACTTTCTGAAGAGGTGAGGAGTGCCAGGGTACTATTTCAGCTTGGCAGTTCTCACTCTATTGAGAAAAACAGCAATTTGAGTTTAACAGAGAGACAGTTTGTTCCTCTGGCCGGGCTCCCCCATTTTTCTCACTTTGTAATATAAACCCTTACCTCACTTTAGATGTTTTAAAGCAGGCTCTCCAGCAGTAGCTTAAGCCAATTGAGTTTGGGTTAAGTCCTGCCTTCTTCTAGTGCTCAGTCATGTAGACCCACACCCTCCAAGCGCCAATATCGGCGCTCATACAGCTAGACTACAAGCCAGTTCAGAAACCCAAGTCAACCAAAAAGTCCATCACTGTACAAAGGAAGTCAGTTTTGGCTGGCTCAGCTCCCCAAACCGTCTTGCAGCCTAGCAGCGTAAGTGCTAGCACAGGGGAAAGTCTCATGGTCAGTCCAATAAGACTGAACTACCAAGAAACTGCACACCAAGTGTGTCTCTACACCATCCAGCTTCCCTACAGCCTAAACAGTCCCTTCCCTGGAGTGATGCTATATGGGATATCCCTCCACTAGAGAAGACAGACAATAATTGGAGTCAACATTCAGCAGATAATAAATACCTTCAGTAATTACAGAATTAACACAGAACATAGCTAGTATCAGTCTATCACAGAGTATATAAAACACTGCCACCCTTCCTTTTAATTCACTGCTCTTTTTAACTATTTAATATTCTTTCAAGCAAAGCTGTGAACAAAAAGAAACCATGAATGTATCACCCTTGTAAAGCTTCTTCCCCATTCATTTCCTTTGCAGGTTGCAAAAAGACTAATTGATGAGACCCCTACCACCAAATACTCCAGCTGTGTCCAAGAGGGTCTGTTGCAAGGGTCTATAATTAGATTAACACTTACTGGTTACTGGCGTTGCATTGTTTGGCGTGTCAGCTCGTAAGTACTGTGTCGTCTGTGTGGAAGGTTGGGATAAGCCTTGTGAGCTACTGCTGTCACTAATGCTGTTTTAAAACAAAAATGGACATGAACATGACTGCCTGCCACTGTAATAAATTCAAAATTAACATATCGAAGTTAAAACAGAAGATTTTCCAGGCTAGACTTTGAAAGAACGGCATTTTTAAAGTCTCTCACACATTAAAATGTATGTCAGGTAACTCAAAAATCTTAGCACTTCTGTCCTTTGAGCATGAACAACTTCCTCCTATTTGTTTTGCAGAATTTGCTCTATTTTCCAGTACTTTTCCCCCACTTTTGAAAAATCAAGGTGACAAAACATTTATTGCAAAAACCACCCTGTCATGCCAGAAACAACAAAACTATTATATTCCAGAGAAGACTTGTGTGCATTTGTTTCATGGTACCAACATCCTACTGAGAATCAACAACGACTACTAAAGTTTGAAAGCAGCAGCCTGAGCCAAATGGAGAAGCACCTGTAACACCGTGCAAAGCTTAACTAGCTTTTTCAGCCAGAGTGATCTCCTCTTGCTTGCTCTGGGCATGCCAGCTGCTAGCTCTATCTGCTGCCCTTTAGTTCCTATGCTGGAGCAAATATTGAAAAGATATTCCCTAGTTCACTGTTGCGAATGGTTGTCTGCCCTGTACCACTGTACCTGTCTCAGCTCTTTTACAGACCAAACTGTCCTAGCCTACTTTGCCATTCCTCTCTCTAAGGATACTTGTTGCCCCTTCCAGGGCCACCTACAATGTGCTTTTGAGATATTTTCTTTGGGTAGAAGGACCATAGCTGCACACAGTACTCAAGAGACAGGCAAACCATAGCTTAAACCATAGTAGGATGTTTTCTGTCTTATCCTCATAGACAAAATCCTACAAGAAGAATTGTTGTAGCTGTAATGGCCTAAGAACAGGTGAGAAAGTTTGCGGGCAAAGGCAAGTACCTCTTACTAGCTCATATGGCAGGGCCGGAAGAAGCTTTTTTGATCTCCCTCCCAAACACACACAAACATCCCCCTCTTTTTTGAAACTTAAAAGCTTCTCCGATTCTGCTGACTGTATCTGGAGAACAAAGAAGAGATTGTTTTGGGGTATAAGCCTCTGCCTTGCCAAGTAATCAACATTCCATTTGCTTCTTGGGCTGCTATTGAGCACTGACCAAGCAGTGCTAGCCATCCTTGTAGGATTTTTTAGACATGCTTGGTGATGCCCTCAAGGACCACTGTTAGTTTTGAAGCAAGACTTCCTTTAAAAAATGAAAGCCAACAAGTAAACTCTTCCCCATTATACCATAATCACAGATGCACCTACTGAATCTTTTCTTTAGAATAGAATCTACTAATTCTCACCATACAAATACCAGGCTTACTGATTTATAGCTGGCCTCGATCTCTCTCGGGAAACCTTTTTTAAAGTTATTCCCACATTCACTGTCTTCCAGGTGTAGGGTTCCAGCATAGTTTTTAGCATGAGGTTAAAAGCCACCATTAGTGGTCTAGCTAGTCCACTTTAACTTCCTTGAGAGTTTTTGAATTAATATTCTCTGGTGCTGGCAACTTATTACTGCCTATTTTAACTGTTTGCACTATTGCACCTACAAGCTGCTTCCACATGATCCACTCTCCAGCGAGGTTCCCGGAAAGAAGTGTCCTGGCATGGTCACTGCATTAAACACTGATGTGGAACTTCCAGTTCGTTTTCCTGCTATGGCTGGAAACTCCTTTTGTAACTTGATCACCTACTAGCTCTACAGATTTCTTTGGCTGGCTTCCTGCTGCAAGCAAGTTTGAAAAACGAATTATTCTTTTTATGCCTGTTGCAAGTTTGAAAAACTACCTTTTTGGTTGGCTTCATTCTGGTTTTTTGGTTTAACTTGCTCATGTTTATGAGCTTTCTTAGTTTTCTCACTTGCATATTATGTCAGCTTTTTGAACGATGCCTTCTTGCTTTTAATAACCTCCATTATCCTGCTGTTAAGCCACGCCAAGTTTCTTTGGCACTTTTTCAAGTGCCTTTGATAGGAGGTATGCAAGCATTTGCTCTGAACTTTCAGTACAATGTTCTTAAATAATCCATGTGCAGCCTGTAAACTCAGCTGCCTGGTTTTAGCTTCTATTTAACAACCTTCCTCATTTTTATTTAGTTCTGGTTTTTGAAATTAAGAGCAACAGCAGTGGGTTTTTCAGCCTCTGTTGCTCCTGGGAGGTCGTTAACCCTAATGATGTTACCATCTTTGATTCAGAACCCCTCTACAGCAATGTTTTGAGCTTGTTATTCAAAACCAAAGCAAAAGTTGTTTCTTCTCTCACAAGCTCCTTGACTAGTTGCTAAATCAAGCAGTCAATGATCATACAGAATGCTAGTGCATAACATCAAGGCTCAATTACAACACTGAACCAGTTTCTCAGCTGAGCACTGAAACATCACCTCACAGTCCCTTTGCTGGCTCCTGTGCACGCTGCCCATTCTGAAAATAAAACCCCACAGATCCTGATTTGCAGGCACATTTTGCCTCTCTGTTACACCTTTGCTACCATACTAGTTGACCAGAGCTCTTACCCAGGAGCCCATCCAAGGTTTTGTCAGGTCAGGCACCTTCAGGCTCATAAAACAAGTCATCACATGGCTCTCTGACGAACTAAATCCCACTATCTGCACAAACTTCACAGAAATTATCAGAAGGCCATGTACTGATTTAGAGCAAATTCTTTAATACCTGCAAACCACAGAGTATTAACATTAGATTAATTTTTAGCTTGTATCTCCACAGAAATCAAGTACGATGGAGTGGATGAAAGGAAACTTGGATCACACTGCTAGGCTGAGACAGTCTCTCAAAAACTTGTAGATGACACTATTTACACACTCTATAAATGTAATGCTTTTCCTTTCTGAATTAAAGCAAGCTGCACATCCTTTAACACCTTCTATTCATTAAAAACCCTCAGTAGACAATTAGGCACAAATGAATTGAGGAAAGCTGACAAGTCATTTGGTTAGATAATCACACACTGAGAATCACAGAATGGTTTGGGTCGGAAAGGACCTTAAAGATCGTCTAGTTCCAACCCCCCTACCATGGGCAGGGACACCTTCCACTAGACCAGGTTGCTCAAAGCCCCATCCAACCTGGCCTTGAAACCATTACTAACTACACTGGCACCCCCAAAAACCAAGTGGTCTGGGACACCACAAGAGTAAAGGGTAGAAAGAAAAACAGAAAGAAACAGATGAATGGATAGAGGAAGATGAAAAGATAGAGTTACTCAGAGGTTGCAGGCAGGAACAGAAACAGTTCAAGATATCCTTTCAACAGGGGTGACGACCCACGGGCCCAACTGCTTTCCAAAGTATTCAGTTTCAAAACTGCCTGCTTCTGAACAGTTGCATCTGATGCAGTTTGTTCACACAGCCTCAGCAGAGCCTCGGTCCACCTGCTTTTTCAGCCTCCCTTCCGCCTCGGTGTTTAATCCCCACTCAGCCAACCGTATTGCCCTTGGGTTCACGTTACAAGTCCTTTTCACGTGCATGTGCCAATTCAGTTTTTCTGAATTGAAAATACATTTCAGAGTGAGCCCATTTTCAGCTTTATAACCAACCAGTTGTAATACCCAGATTTTACCCTAAGACCAAAGTGAATACTGGTAAATGAATCAAAATAGAAAAAACTGAAATTCAATCTCCTGTAGAAGTCAGTAAAAAACAAGTATTTTCAGCGTGCCCAGGTATATATCAAGTTTTCCTTCAATCCTGACAATCCCTGTAGACCTGACTCTGTCCAAGTTTCCCCACTGTGTGTCCTCCACAAAACTATTCTGGCAAAAACCCAACAGCTATAACCCTCCTACCCCATAAACAGCAGAGCACCTGCAACTGCTGCCTTTCTGCAGTATCGCACTTACCACAACTCTGCACAGGTAGTAATTGAGACAGCTTGACATCAAGAGCAGAAATTGCAAGCTACTACAGAGTGCTTATTTTGAGACAAGAACTCCCACAAGTCTGGGTAAACATGTCCCAGATATGCACTCAAAAAGCTTGAATACATACCTGTCATCCAACTCTATCCTTTTCATGCTGTGGAGGTGCAAGACAGCTAATATTATTGCCACCAGGAATATAACAGCACAGCACACGCCTACACTGATATAAAACACACGGGTTGAAGTGGTGGGAGCTGCATTTACAGGATCAACTGAAATAGAAAGGTGAAAAGTTACTGAACCTTTCTCAAAAAAAGTAAAAAAAAAAACCCCACAACCCAAAACAAAACACCCACCCAAACCAACCCCACAAACCACATTTTGTTAGTTCCCAGCAGGCTGACACGTCAGGAGGGTGGTGCCGCTGTCCCCAGATTCACCCCCGGTGCCCTGCCACCCAGGTCTGGCAGGAGCAGGAGCCAGCCTGCAGAGGCAGACCATGGTAACACCCAGAAGAGCTCCTGCTGCAGCAAAGCAGGGCAGGGCCCAGCAAGCTACTCGACACCTCCATTTATTTACTGGGACACAAGGAAGGTTCCTACTGAAGGATAAAAGCTAGCCAGGAACCTCCTAAAATGGTCTTGTTGGTCCTGCTGGTTCGACCTTGCACAAACCCTCAACCCTCCTCCATGGCTCCCATGCTGCAAACACAGTAGGAGCACGGACAAACCCAGCTTCCAGCTCAGCTGACCCCCAACACAGCAAGTGGCATTGACTTGCTAGTTGGGGCTGGAAGAGCAGGAGTCACCTGCACACCAGGACACACACTAATACAGTAAATAAAATGAGACTAATACCTAGGTGCAGTGAGATAGTGGTGCTTACTCACTGACCGGATGTGCCAGAGCACACAACTTCAGGTTCTCCTCCTGATTTTAGGGTATGATGGGTGTATTACAGCCCCCTGACCTGAATCTTAATGCAGCAGTGTTAACAGGGCAGTTAATCCTCTTTCTCAAAGAATCTCAACTGTGGTGAGTTTTAGGGCAAAATTCTGCAGTTGCACCTTGGCAGCAGAGGGCTGTCTGCTGCACTGGACTTCAACAAGGTGCAACAAGGGCAGAGGAATTGGAGGCAGAAAGAGGCAGTAGCCCTAGCCAACCCCAATTTTAAATCACGCATCGTGGAGAACAATTGCCCTGGAAGAGACAGCGGGTGGTAAAGAGAAAACTGAGCAATGCACTCCACTGCTTTCCAAAAGCATTTTGGCAAAAATGTTTATATTTTGGGTACTACAGAGGCTGAGCACAGTCAGTTGATGGTATTTCCAGCTAGAAGAGGACTGAGTAAAAGTTGAGTAAAATACCTCATTCTATTCATTCAATACTGACAAGTTAAAACAGCAAACCAGGTAGGTCCTAAAGTCAAGAAAATAGATCAGAGTCATGTACAGAAACCAGAGTCCCTAAGACATGATTAAAAAGGTTGCTAAGAGATTTGGGATAGGGTTTTTTCCCTCTTCACTACTATGTATTCCCAGTTAAAATAAATAATTACCAAAAAAACCCACTAAAATACTAGGTGTACTACAGGCTACCTTGGGAATGCTTTCATAAGGAAAGCTGTGGAAACAGAAAGAACATCACAAGTTTTTCATTTTTTACACCCGAAGTAAGTTGTACACTCAGAAATCACTTACAGATAGCCTTGCTGCTGTTTTTATCAGACATTGGAGATTTTATTTCTGGTTCAAGCTCTAAAGAGATGAAAGAAAACCATTAAGTTTGGTATACATTTATTATTGTAGCCCTTCACAGGAAGTCAATTGCCTTATTTATGGAAAAACAAATCTGCTTTCCCAAACAGGTGAGCTGACTTAAGGACTATAGTTATCTCTAGATTTCCATTTTAAATACCTAACCACTGTATAATAAAAATCACACTTAAGACACATGGGTCAGAGATATTTCACCACTGATACACATGTCCATTGAGGCCATGCTTGAACCCACTGAATCTACCTACCTCAAAAACCCCTGCGGCTTGTCCACCAAAGTCCAAAGCAGCAGACAGTAGAAAGAGGAGGTGCAGAGTATGTGAGTGTATGCTAAGACACTAAACAACAAAGACCTCACAGAATCAGTTACTATAAGATAGAAAATAATTTCTTGAATGTTCAATCAATACTATCCTGACCTTTTGGAAGAAATTCTGGCTCCAGTCTAATGCTACTCATCCTAGGAAGAAGTCAGAGATGCAGCCATGGGCACCGTGCCTTCTCAGCTTGTGCTACAGTCATGAGTGTTGAAGGATGAAAGAGGTAATGCCTGTTTAAATACTTATAAATATGGAACAAAAGGCACAAGGACAATAATTCAGGTTTGTGTGTGAAAGTACTCCTTCAAAAAGGGAATAAGTCTTCATTAAGCTTACTATGAGTCTGGTCACTAAGAGGAGCAGTGCAAACCAAGGGAACGCAGGCTGTGGAGATGACTTCAGATGAACCTCACTGAAGATTCGCACACAGTTAAGGCAATATTATGGATTTCTGTGGCTGCAAAGGCGCAGTCCCACTTGCACATCCCCCTTCCTGCTCCGAGCTGTGAAGAGCTGCCTCCTTCCCAGCACAGCCCCTTCTGACTCCTTGGTAAGCCAGTTCAGCCTGATAAACTTGTGAAAAAGTAATCCGGGGGAGGGAAAAATCTGAGAGTTTTTCTTCCTTTTTTTTCTTTCCCCTTTTTTAAACTTTAGGAGGAACTATTACAAATGCCTTGAGCAAAACCGCTAGCAAGTTCCTGCATATTTTTAACTTATGCACTAAATTAAATCAGAAATCCCCAGATGCTCTATACCAATCAACACACATCAAAAAAAGTCACTGACATTTTTATGAACCCACAGAAACATGATCTTTATAAGAATCACTTCTGCATGATGTAGGAAGTGGCTCTATCTCACACACCCAGATAACTGTGTGGTGCTTATGGAAACCTCCTCTGCACATTCAGCAGCTCAATAAGCTATGAATGCACAAGCAATGCTGACTCCCCCACTTATAACATTTGAAAAAGTACCTAAGAAAAGATGAAATAAAGGTAAAAATGTCTTTCCTTCGAAACATTCTCAGCCAGACCTCCATTTTCACTAGAAAAAGAGATACACCTCAAATTAAGAATGATCTTCCTGTAACATCAATGCAAGGAACATGAGTATCACATCATTATGTGCTAAAAAGCCACACTAGCTCTTTCACCTGCACCTTCCAGAAGTTCATCCTTAGACATTCATACTCAAGAGAAGTGGCAAACTCGCCTCTGAAAAGCCAACTACTGTCTTCAAAGGCTTCAAGTAAACTGAACAGTGCCAGGAGGAGCATGTAAATAGAGAGGTGGCCATCCTCAAACGCTGCCTGAGAACAGGACACCACCGCCATTTTTAAGGAGGGTACAGTTCTTGGGATTCTCCAAAATAATTTTCTTCTGATGCCTATGAAAATACTTCTAGGAAGCAGCAACAGGAGATAGTAACAATCCAAGAATAAATTGTGTTTGCAGATTCCCAAGTCAAAACGTAGAAGAGTCGATCTGGGATTTCTGAAGTGTGCATTATCTACCAAGATCATTTTGTACTCCAAGTCTGAAAGACTAACACCTGCTTACATTCACTAAATAGCCAATTTTATACAATTTATAAACTAAGTAGATTTTGTTGGTAATTCTTAGAACAATTTGAATATTCAGAGTGCTGCAGTTTTGAGGAAACTAGTTTCTTCCTTCCAAGCACAACAGAAAAAATGCTTTTTGCTATGTATGTAAAAATGTCAGTCAATGCAGCGTAACACTTGGGGAATTTGTTCATCCATCAGCTTCTGCTTTTACCAAAAGACCCCATTTGTCTCTGAAAGGCAAAATTTTACCTGTTTTTTTTCCTATCCTCTCCAACATTCACTCTTGGGATCTGTTACTCATGTCCTGGATCATATACCTTCCCACTCCTTTTTCTTATCATACTTTAACACTAAAAGCTTTTTAATATTTGAAACTTAATGTCTTACTTCTGTAGCACATTTTCCTTCGTTTGAAATTTAAAACTGTGATGTTTTTTGATGAATTTATTGTCAAGTTGAGCTGCATTAGTATTGTGACCTCAGAGTCGAATCTGCCAGTGCAGGAGAGTTCGACACGAAACACTGCAAACAGACAACAAATAGGGACTACAGTTAAGTTCGAGCACTTTTCAGACATTGTGGTGAAAGAATATTTAAATGATAAAGGTCTTTTTAAATGATGTTTATAATGTACATTTTTAAAGAACTTGCTATTAAGAAATGCTACTTTAGCCTTCATGCCTTGTAATTTCAGACAACTATTAAAGCATTAAAGGGCATAGATTTTAAATGAATTTATGTGAGTTATATTAAAAGTTTACAGATTACTAAAATTGTATCTGTGGATAAATGACCATTAGCCATCCATTAGCTTCGGAGTTAAAGTGCTGTCACAAGAGAAACCTCTGTTATCACAGAAAACCAGAAAACTTAGTTTTCCTCATTGCTTTTGCAAATGCTATGAAAGCTAGCTTTTTTCCACAACTGTTAAGTTTAAACATTTTGGTCTCTGCAAATCTGACTGGAATCAAGCTTAAACTAGTATGACATTATTTACTTTCTATCTTATATACCAGTATTATTTATGCCAACAGAGCAGACACAACAAGCCTAATTCCCTAGTGTCTGCTTTCACAAAAGAGTTGTACAAAACCGAAACATCAATATATATTTTATTGCCCTTTGAATATCTAACAGAGTACGAGGAACCATAGTTGAATGAGAAAGGCATGATGATCACTTGCACATTTCCTGAAACAAAATTGTTTCTAGTATAAATTCTATGGGGGAGCCAATACATATTCAAAATAGTTTTCTCAGTTTTAAAACTTACCATAAACACTTTAATCTATTAACAACTCCCACACATCTTGAAATGTCATCTCTGTAGGCTAGAGAAATTAAAAGGCATGGATTTTAAAATCCATGCAATTGCTAATGATTATTGTTGAAAGGGAACAGAAACCTTGTGTGCGTACATTCACATAAAAATGTCACTTTTCCTGGAAAGGAAATTCTGTATCCTCTGCTAAACAAGGGGGGAAAAAAATATTACACTCAGACTAATAGTCTCAATCTATAATACACTTTTTTTAGCAATGTCATAACTGTTGCAGAAAGCCTGTAAACATATTATGTTTAATAGAGAAAGATTACGCTCTTAAGCAACACTACACACATTTTGGAAAAAACAAAGTACCACCAGAAAGCATTATTAGTATCAGCACTAGCTGTGCACTTTCAGGGGGTGGGGAGTTTACCTGAAAGGGTGCGAGGAACTTCTCCTTGTAGAGAAATGTTGGCCTGGGGCATAGCCATAGCCATGGGATTATCTACCTGAAATCCCAGTTTATACTCAACCTGTAACAATAGTTAGAAGATGGAAAACACGTAAGAAATCTCTACAGTAGTAAAAAGAAATGCTACATACCTTTTCATAATTCTTCTTGAAATTAAAAACACCCGTATCTTATTTTCAAAGAACGCTGGTGATTTTAGGTGCCCAAATTTAAGGTTTCTTATATGAAGTCTAAATATCAGACTTTTGTGACAGTTCAAATTAAGAAAGCCAAATTAGAAGCCACTCTTGAAATAATTCTTGAAAATTTGGGGCAGAATTTAAAGTGCTGTATTAAAAAAAAAAAACCACCACAAACCTCACTTGCTGATACTTTTAAACTTACTTTTTCAAAAGCCAGTTTGTTAAAACCATAGGAATTCAAAAAATTCCCCTTCCTCTAGTCTGTTTTATAAACTACACAGCCAAAATTGCTTACAGTTTATTCAACTATAGTTAAGATTTTGTTTCCACTTAAGAAGCTCATTCTGCAAATATTCATTCAAAAAAGTATAGGACCTATTGTAACTGAGTCATAAGCTCCTGTTGGAAATTCATCCTATCCCTCCACACTCAGTTGAATGAATTTGGTTTGACTTTGTTTGCCCCATTAGCTTCCTCCCCCCCCCTTTCTAAAACATAATAGGAAGCATTTATATTATCAATTTATTTTTCAGTCAAGATGCCAAGGGTAGAAACATCACACAGTTTCTGAGTTCCTATAAACTGCACTACACCCATCCTACAAATTTAGCACAGAAGATGCTGAGTGGTGCAGTCACAGTAATGGAAGCTCAAGAATTCCTATTCAAAATTCAGACAGGCCCAACGAAACTCAGGGCAGGGACAGCGATGCAGGTAGCTTATAGCTGAAGTTGTAATAACAGGGAAACTCCTTCAAAGGTCCTATTCAAATGGCAAGTGACTGAACTGCCTGTGAAGGTGGAATGCGATATCAAGTAGAAGGGCTGGCTTGCACTGTAGCCAATACCGTTGCAGGCCAAAATTCACATCTTGTAAGAAGTTACACCTCAAAGGGAAGAACACTGGCAGAAGGAATCTTCAGAAATTGCATTGGTGGAGTTGTTAAATATTACTGTTCCTACTGCAGTCTTTCCTACTTAAGGACAGAATAATAACCATTGCTCAAGTTTAAAAAAAAAAGAACATCTGGCAGAGACTAAACAGATCATTTCATATACAAAAATAAATTGTTAAGTAACTGGAAATCCTTCAAAATGTAAGAGCATATGCAATCTTTATGACAGCTGTTGCTACATGCTCCAGCCACGGTGATTAAGTGAAATAAAAATCCTTTTCCATTTAATCAGTGCTCAGTAATAACACACTAGATGCTACTTTTATAGGTTCCTCTCATCTCCAAACATATGTTTCTAGAAATCTCTAAAACACAATTGCTCTACATTTGATTTCCAGAGGCTGCCCCTTCTGTGCGTTCAATGCACCACCAGAAGAGATTCCACAGCCAATAGCTTCTATATGTACATGTAGCTTGCCAGAAGCAAGAAATATAAAATACTTCAAAAGAAGTGCTTAACTGTTCTAAAACAAGAAAGGAACAGTTTGGATATGTATCTGTCCTGGTTTCGGCTGGGATAGAGTTAATTTCCTTCCTAGTAGCTGGTACAGTGCTGTTTTGGATTTAGTATGAGAACAATGTTGATAACACACCGATGTTTTAGTTGTTGCTAGGTAGTGTTTACACTAGTCAAGGACTTTTCAGCTCCCCATGCTCTACCGACTGAGAAGGCTGGAGGTGCACAAGAAGCTGGGAGGGGGCACAGCCAGGACAGCTGACCCAAACTAGCCAAAGGGACATTCCATACCATGTGATGTCATGCTCGG